CTCTCGTCTCGGATGAACTCACCTAGTCCCTTGGTGTGCACTTTGCACCAAGAATGTTTATGGTCATACTCGTGGAAACGCAGTCACCAAACAAACCACTTGCAGTTTAGGAAGAGACACCCAAAGTTGTGGGGCGTTTTACGTATCTTAAAAGCTGTATTAGTTCTGGTTTTAGTGGGCAGTATATCTCAGAGGTTAGAGCGCGAATTTACTAACCGGAAGATCTGTGGTGGTTAACGTCCCTATGGAGTCTCTAGTGAACTGAACAAATTAATGATGTAAGCCAGATACAAAGTCACAAGGAGAAAAATCCAAGTAAATCTTGGCCCACAGTTCAAAATAGGAGATTCCGTAGTTCCGTATTCCGTTGAACCACCACACCAAGAATAATTCTATCTTCCCGGTATTCCAGATCCCCGGTGATCGAAATATTAATCCACAAGTGTGAATATATTAGTCCAGTGTTTGCAGCTGAAATGTTTGTTCACGTTTAGTGTTAGCGGCGGTCAAATATAGCCAAACGGCGGTCACAAGAACAGTCACTCAGCAAAAGTCTCAAAGTCACGTTGGAGCCAACAAGCGGGCGGTAGCAGTTGTATTTCAGTAAAACAAACTTTTGTACAGCGATGTGGGTGATGATGATGGGGAAAAAGAAGATGATACTGAGCATGAAAAAGAACAGTTTACAAGTGCTACAATCCGTGGTTCGAACCTGACCTCTGCCTCTTGAGTTCCCCTGTCTAGACTTGGCAGTATCCTAGCCCCCGTGTTTGCTTCTGGCGGTTTTGCAACTATGCACCGAGAGGGTGCGACAACTGAGCGCTTTTTCTGGTTGTTGTGTGATAGAGGAGGTCAATGCACAAATCTGCAAGGCTCTGTTCNATTCGATTCCGTTGTCCGGTCTGTCCTCCTTAACAGGTTTGAACGGCGAGAAACATCCTGGAAGCGTGTGAACGCAACACGTTGTCTGTTTTCTCAGAATTTCGGGCGTTAGTGTATACGAAGAGCTCTCCATAAGCCTTCGCACACAAAGCGGTGTTCGTCAGAGGTGTCATTCTCCCCGTTGTGATTTAATTTTGCGACAGATAAGATACCGAGACGAACGCTGGAAGACCTTCAAAACCCGTGTGTTCAAATACCCCCTAACAAAAACCTTGTCGATCTGAGATACGCAAGGGACATCGCTCTCGTCTCGGATGAACTCACCTAGTCCCTTGGTGTGCACTTTGCACCAAGAATGTTTATGGTCATACTCGTGGAAACGCAGTCACCAAACAAACCACTTGCAGTTTAGGAAGAGACACCCAAAGTTGTGGGGCGTTTTACGTATCTTAAAAGCTGTATTAGTTCTGGTTTTAGTGGGCAGTATATCTCAGAGGTTAGAGCGCGAATTTACNTGGACACTATCAGGCATCAGCCTGGTAGCCGTGGCATCGGAGGTCCTCTTTGGTCTTATCCTCTGACGGTTGACTGAACACAGAGAGGGGCCGATCCGTAGAAACCAAGCTAGATTCCCTACTGTAGAAGTACAAATCAATCACGCTTTCACCCCCTTAACGATTCTGGAAAGCAACACTGTTTCCACTTACCTAAAGTAAGGGTCATTTTTGACCCAAAATCTGTCTTTGACAACGGTGACCGTCAGATGGCGGTGTCTGTGGAGCATCTTTCAGCATTGTCAATCGGCAACTTATGCATATCAAAACCAACCGAAATATTGATTGTCTGGGGTGAGTAAACCAGTCGATGCCGCGGTGCTACGACTACAACAAAAATAAGATGGCTCTTTTCAGCAAAGGTCTTGGATGCTACTCGAAAGAAAAAGTGGTGCCTCATCTGTGCCCGGACATCAAGTCAACTTTTGGACTCAAATGGCCAGTGCCATACGCGGTTTTACCAACCCTCGATGCCAAACGCCTTGAAGATACCGGAGTCCTAAAACCGGTGACTCACTCATGAGCTGCACAAATCCTGGTTGTCAAAAAGCCCATAGGTGCCATACATATCTGTGTCGATTATTCCACATGTTTGAATA